CAGCGGCAGCAGCAGCACCTGGGAATAGTTAGCTCCTCATCTACCCTTCGACACCTCCTGAATTATAAACAGCGTAGAAAATGCACTATGGTCACTTATACACTACCAGGGCTTAGGGTTTAGGGTTTAGGGTTTAGGGTTTAGGGCTTAGGGTTTAGGATTCTGCTGCCGACTCCAGCCCCAACAACCCCCCCTTTAACCACCCCACCTTCTTTGTCTTCTTTTTTTTCATCTTTACTTTTTGAGTTTTTTATTTGCAAACATTTTTGTTTTCTGCTTAGCGACGAGCTCCAAACCCTAAACCCTAAACCCTAAACCCTAAACCCTCCAAACCCTAAACCCTAAACCCTAAACCCTAAACCCTAAACGCTAAACCCTAAGCCCTAAACCCTAAGCTCTAAACCCTAGATCCTCGACTCGCTTGTTGCCTACGAATAACCAACCATGGCATCTTCCTGCTACCCTAAACCCTAGACCCTAAACCCTAGACCCTAAACCCTAGACCCTAAACCCTAAACCCTAAACCCTACTTCTGCCAGTGCTCTCGCACGCATTTGTTATGAGCTGCTTATTGCCGCCCTCTGCTTCCAGACCCCTGAACCCCAACCCTCAACCCCCAAACTCCAAACCCCAAACCCTAAACCCTAAACCCTAAACCCTAAACCCTCAACCCTAGAATGAGTTTTTCCCTGGGCCCTTCCCAAGGGCCAGGGGAGGTTTATGTCCAACTTGGAGAAAAGGGAAAAACTGGTTTTGGCGAGGTGTACGTACACCCGAGGGGCCCCCGCACAAGTGCTGCGCTGCGGCAGCAGCTGCTGCAGCAGCTGCAGCAGCAGCAGCAGCAGCAGCAGCGGCTTCCTGCAGCGGCCCCGGCCCCAACTGCTTCTGCGCTCGCGACAGCAGCACCAGCAGCAGCAGCAGCAGCAGCAGCAGCAGCAACAGACAACGAGCAGCAGTGGCGGCTCTGGGCCTCGCAGCAGCAGCAGCTGCTGCTGTGTCTCTACTCTTATATTAAGGCGCATGCAATGCCCCAAGGGCAGTTGGAAGCAGCAGCAGCAGGCCAGCAGCAGCAGCAGCAGCAGCAGCAGAAGGCTGCCAGCAGCGTCCCTGTGTATCTTGATGCTGTTGAGCTGCTGGAGCAAAGGCCCTTCCTGGGCCAGCAGCTGCTGCTGCTGCCGCAGCAAACTTTGCTGCTGCTTCACGAAAAGGTGCTGCCCGCGATATGCATGCTGCTGCTGCAGCAGCTGCAGCGGCGGCAGCAGCAGCAGCAGGAGCAGCAGCACCTGCAGGAGCAGCAGCAGCTGCTGCTGCAGAACCAGCGACCGGAGCAGCTGCACCTGCAGCCGCAGCAGCAGCAGCAGCAGCTCGTGCTGCGGCAGCTACAGCAGCAGCAGCAGGAACAACAGCAGCTGCTGCAGCAGCAGCACCTGCTGCAGCAGCAAGCTCTTCTTGCTGCTCCTCCCCTGCGGGTTCGCCTCACTCATGTGCCCGCAGACGAAATGCCTGGGGCTGACCGCAGCAGGTAAAAACCCTAAACCCTAAACCCTAAACCCTAAACCCTAATTTATTTACTAATCTGTTTATTTATTTATTTGCTGCAGCCGGCTGATGGTGGAGCACATAGAAAGCCTAGTGACACTCAAAGGCAGGGTTGTCAGAGCTGGTAAACCCTAAACCCTAAACCCTAAACCCTAATTTTGAGCTGCAGTGGCACGTGCAACAGCAGCAGCAGCAGCAACAGCGGATGGCCCAGCAGCCCCAGGAACAGCAGCAGCAGCAAAACAGCAAAGCCAGCAGCAGCAGCAGCAGCAAAACAGCAAAACCAGCAGCAGCAGCAGCAGCAGCAGCAGCAAAGGCGCTGCAGCAGAAGCAGCACCCGTCTCCCGACGGACCAAAAAGCAGCCAAACAAACAAAAAAAGCAAATTAAGAAGCAAATAAATTTATTTATTTATTTATTTATTTATTTATTTATTTATTTATTTATTTATTTATTTATTTATTTATTTTTTGCTAGGCCGGCTGCAGATGCTGACAGCACGGCGAGTGTTTTGCTGCCGCCTCTGCGGCTTCCGATTTGTTGCTGCTGCTGAGCCCGAAATCTTCTACAGACTCAAACTCCCCAGCAGGTGCCCCTCAGGTAGGGTTTAGGGTTTAGGGTTTAGGGATTAGGGTTTAGGGTTTAGGGTTTAGGGTTTGGGGTTCAGGGTTAGGGTTTGGGGTTTAGGGTTTAGGGTTTAGGGTTTAGCGGCAGGGTTTAGGGTTTAGCGTTTACGGTTTACGGTTTAGGGTTTGGGGTTTAGGGTTAGGGTTTGTGGCTTAGGGTTTAGGGTTAGGGTTTGGGTTAGGGCTACAGTTGGGGTTTGGGGTTAGGGTTTAGGGTCAGGGTTTAGGGTTTGGGGTTTAGGGTTTAGGTATAGAATTTAGGGTTTTGAATTTAAGATTTGGGGACCAGGGTTTAGGGTTTAGGGTTTAGGGCTTAGAATCTGGGGTTTAGGGTTTAGGCTTTGGGTTCAGGGTTTAGGGTTGAGGGTTTGTAGCGCGCTGCACTTGCTGCTGCAGGAGCAGCATCCCGGGCGTTCGGCTCATCTGCTGCAGCAGCAGCAGCAGCAGCAACAGCAACAGCAGCAGCAGCAGCAGCAAGAGGCTGGGGCCGGCGTTTTGGGGGGAAGCAGCAAGCAGCAACGGGGTGTACGAGCAACTTGTTTGACGAAAGTCCTGATGAGTTCACTAAAACAGATTATCAGGAAATCAGGTTTGCTGCTGCTGCTGCTGCTGCTGCTG